TCATTAGAGCCTCCAACTCACGATGAGGCCGATTTGCCACAGCTACTGCATGACTTTTGCTGCTGCTGGGGTTTATTCAAATTCCAAATATAGCACCAACCTTAACCTTCTCCATTCAATATGGCTAACAAGTTCCATTTATGATGTGCGCTGGCGTCGGGGTTAAATCGCATTGTGGAGCTGCCAGCAATTAATTCCCAGCTCAGGAAACTGGAATATAACTTGAATGACAGAAAGCAGAACTGAGTTCCCTGACATGCAAAGGAATTTGTTCACTGAATTTAAAACTGTCTCAGCTTTATAAATTTGACTCATCAGTGCAATGCTAATAATACTAATTATAATAGTATCTGCACTTGAACTCATATGCCAAATTGTACAATAAAAATCCAAATTTTATGTGCTATCATACAAGCAAAAATTATCAGACCATAAAAAACTCCCCCAATACCAAGTTTCTTTTATATAATGTTGTCTTATTTCACTCCCAGGTTTAAGTCAACATGCTTACATGTGATCAATAGATACTCATAAAATCATTTTCATCTTAATTAGAATTCTCTGGCTTGGGTATCTTCCCCATTGCGCAATAACATACTACACAGGTGAACATGTTACAGTGTGAGCAAAGTATTGTGGTAAGAAACATTATAATGTCATAATGACATCATAATGATGTCTACAGTTGAACAAGGCATCAGGACATTCGTTCAGGCTCATACTGTATGAGCATGTCATTTACCTTCACATATTCTGTAGGCAGCAGCATATTTCAGTTCAAATTCACTTAAGCAGAATAATCCAGGTTTCTCATTTCGCTTCAGAGTCACAGTGCTGCATGTTAATGGTTATTTGGTGGGTAGAACTGGAATATCCTTGCTAGACTCCCCTGCCTTTCACAGAACCTGATTTTTCCCAAAATTCTGCTCACTCACTCAGGGCTTTTATCATTCCCTTGTGCTGCTTGCTGAAAACAGCTGCACAGTAGATGCACACAGCAGCGAACTGTACAGGAGATGTCGCACCCGGAAATGACATACTACTGCGCACCTACAACCCTGCCGCCTGAAAAATTGCCGGAGTCGTGATTAGTAATACATTTTTTTCAAGAACAGGAAAGTGGAGGGTTTTGACGGGAGCAGGTGTGTTTGGACTGGAGCCTCGGAGGCCGGGATGCGGTCACAGGGTGGGCGATGGCGCAGTGCTGAGAAGCGTGGGGCTGGCGGGCGCCAGCCCGTTGGTATGCTGCCTGGATGCCAGTGTGAGGCGAGGAGGCGCCCCCTTGGGCCAGCTGCAAAGGGGGCACTGGACGACTAGGGGTCAGCAGGAGCAGGCCTGTCAAAGAGCTCCATTCACGCGGGCGAAAACAAGAAAGATAAACAGGGCTCATTCCAAAACCAGCGACAGCCCACACGCTCGGTCTAATCGAGTCCGAATCGACCCAGCTCGCTCATGAGGTACACCTCACTGATTTTTTTACAGCACACGGGAAGACAAAATTATTTGCACCGAGGCTTTACACCAAAATGGGGAGATGCTTAAACAGATCTGATTATCCACAACTTGTACAATGAAAAGAACACAGTAACATCTTCTAAGGCAGTGTTTTCCAACCCAGTCCTCGGGGACCCCCGTATGGCCCACATAAGATGTCGACTGTCTGGCAGGGAGCTGGGAGGGAGCACAGAGGTGGACAAGCTAAGGGCCCCCAAGGACAAACATGGTTCTAAGACATAGAACAGTCATCGGATGTCAAAAATGAGACAGGGGTCATACATAGGTGCCAGAGTGTCACGGAATAAAACACAGTGACAGCATAACAACAAAGTAACAGCTCCCTTACGAAGACAAATGCAGGAAAAAGCCAGACAAATGAAGCAGAGCACAGCCATCATGTTAAAGTAGAACAGCAGAGGGATGCACACACATTTATGGAGAGGAGAGAGAGCTTTTAAACCTCTTCTGCCTTCAGAAGTGCAATCATCATAATGTTATTTGGGTTGAAGACAAATTTTCACGCTGGAAACAAGGTACTTGGCTTAATAGTCAAGTGTGTCCTGTGTAAACATGTGTAGGAAATTGACATTAATGGCCGCCGCAGGTGTTAAAATAAGCCCTACCCGCCTTAAGACACGTGTGCTGTCAAACGCGGAGCAGCAGGCAGCAGCCATACGCTCAGACACGTCTCACGGAGATGCGAGTGTCTGTGTGGGCGAGCCCTGTGTGTCTGTGGGAAGGGGGGGGGCGCCGTTAGGAGGGGCACAGAAGCCTCTCACCCGTGAACGGTTCGGAGTTCCGATTCGCCTGACGCCTCGCAGAAAACGGGCTCGCTGGAGGAGCTGACACAAGAGCGGCTGCAGAATGTTACACGACGGCCGCTCAGCTCCGTGCGCTGCGGCAGCGGAGAATGCTGGAGCAAAGGAAGTACGGAAGAACGGAGCGACAGATCAGTTCATGTAAGAGGTTGCTGGCTCTCAAGCCAACTGAAAAAGCAGCTTTCAAGGCGCACTATATACAACAGAGGGCGTATCAATGTTTATGGTTTATTATTTTACAATAAGCATCGCACAGTTTGCAAACCTTTACTAAACATTAGACCAAATGATTTCTCTACCCTATAACATATCTTTATTTGTGCTAGAATGGGCTAGTGGGCACCGTTTTACTTCTTATGTGGGAATGGCCAAAGGTCTATCCATTCTGGGGTGAAGAATTACGAGCCAAAGGTAAATGGTTAGAGATGCCATTGCCGATATCCTCTCATCCGCGTCGATTAGGAGACATGACTGGACTATCTAATATGAATAACATTGAATTTACAGCGCTGACTGTCGGGATTATTACAGCAGCCAGAGAGATACTGCAGAACTGCAGGTCTGCTATGCTGCCATCCTTGAAAGTAAGGAAAATGTTAACGATAGAAGCGGATCCTATGAGAACATGTTGGCCAGGATGGATGGGAGGCATTGGAAGATAAATGGTATCTGGGGCTGTTTTGTGCAACATGTGACCTGCTGTTCAGGCTAAGAAGGGAGTGTGATAAGCCTTGGTCTCTTTGTCTTACTGATGGCTTTATCTGCGGGGCCTCCTGTGTTTACCAAGTACGCTAATATATTTTGATACTGTATTGTCTCTGTTGTTACATTCTTATATTGAGTGTCTTAAGATGGAAGTGCCTTGATTTTTATTTATGGATTAATAAAAGATTGAATTATATAAAAAACACTTCTGTATTTGATAGTATGTGATTGGAGCCTTGAGGGCAGGTACATAAACACTGAGGCAGAGATGTTCTCCCCAGTATTTAATTTTACTTCATTCATCCCCCTATAAATAAAAGATATTAAGTTGTGGCCCAACCAATATCAGACTATCTCCTGCGTTGTTGCTTGAGGTGC